GGTTTCACGCAAGCTGTGGGCGTATCGTATTCTCCAAATAAGAAAGTTGTTTTCACTAAATTAAAAATTCAGCTAAATTCAAGATAGTTTAGAGGGCGGTTCTGTTTAAAAAAAAAAAACGGCTAAACTGTCTAAATAACTGGCCCTTGCTGTCGCACGTAGCTTTGGACGATTGTAGAAATAAGACTTGTTGAAACCTAATTCATAAAGCTCCCTAAAGAATTCCAACTGTCACAGCCGCGCAGACACCATCTTTTTCGCCGTTTCATTCTGTGTAAATAGTTGATTCTGTTCTGTGATTTTAAATGGAAATTGAGGTCTAAAATTGAATTTCCATTGTTCATCTTCATAATCTTTATTATTATTATTATTATTGTTGTTGTTGTTGTTATTATTATTATTATCATCATTATTTTACTGTAACTTGTCACTATTGATTATTTCTGTGACTATGAGGTCTTCAGTGCTGATGATTGGGAAAAGAGAGGCTGAACAGAAACAATTATTTTTTAGAGGTTTTAAGAGGTGATTTATATTAGTTACGTAATCATGATAAGAAGTTAAAACAAAAGAAGGAAACTCTTCATTTGAGTCAATTCACCTTCATCCTCGGTCTTCAGAGCTTTTACTTTGAAGATCCACAAAACCGCCACGCCGAGCAGAAACCACGCGACGATCTGTGATGTGCTTTTGCATTCGGCGATCCTGAGGGTCAATTCTTGTTTTTCATCTTCATTCAAATTGTATCGCTTCTCAGGACCAGGCCCGATTGTAGCGCAGATATAGTAGTCCCCTTGGGCAAATGATATTATCAGCCATGCCAGAGGTGCTGCGAGCGCCCTTGAAACGCTGGGTAAGATCACATCGCGGAATACGGTGAATTTCGTTTCCTTTTGCAGCTTTTCTTTTATAGTTTGTAGGAAGCCATGAGGATTCAGCTTATTCGCCACCACCAACAGATTAACGAAATAAAGTATGATACAGGGTGCAATAAGGTACACGTACCCGTACAGTTGATGATTTTCCACAGGGCAGTCGAAAAGGTCCGATTTGATTTTCGCGTTTATTGCCACAACGCTTCCAGAGAGTCCAAGGTTCGACAGAGTTTTCACATTTTTGCCTAAGAATTGTATGCCTTTGCGCACCTCTACCCCAACTGACATAGCTGAAAGATACTGAAAAGAACACGCATCAAGTGTTAATTCATGTCTTTTGAATGCACCAAAAGTGTCATATTACCAAACCGCGTGGACTTCAAGTCGAGAGGTCTTAAAATCAATAAATGAAACACTTAACTACAGTATCCCTTTCGTTTTATTTCTTAAGTCTTTGTATTTATCTGTTTTCCTCTTTGCGGTTTGTAAAGACTCTCGTGACTTTAAGTTACTTTTACTACTACAGGATCGCTTAATACAGGTTGCACAGAATAGGGGTATTATGAAAAAATTCTTTGTTTTATTTGAGTGGTTCTGATCTAAGTGAGCGTTCGATGCAGATGGAAGACAGTACAAACAGGCCGTTTGGCAGTCAGTTAAGGGTAACTGCGACCGCTTAACAGAGGTGAAAATTAGTGATTAAAGGGAAACAATTTCAGGACTTTGACAACCGACCGCTCAATACAGGGTGACCGCTTTTAAAACGGTGCCGCTTTATACAGGTTTGACTGTATTCAGCTCTTCTTTCCTTGCAATGTAATAAAAAGAGCGCTTTTTTTTTCAAAGAAGGTTTAACTCTACTTGAAGGAAAGTTGAATAGCTGTTTTGTTTGAAGAGTATGTACAACTTTTACGTATTTGTAAAATCATAAATCAAAATAAACGGCTCAGACGCCGGTTTAGACGCCGTACTTCAGCCGCGACGAATGGAATTCAATGATAGGCCGACCCAAATTAGTTCATCCTGGCTGAATTCATTCGAACACCCAACTTTATACGGTCGTATGTGCACTCAGTCTCCTTCTGGTCATGCATCACCGAGTGGTAGCGACGCGTCAATACAACAGAAAAAACATCAGATGTCACCATCGTTTAGTTTGGCCCGCCAAGCCGCCATTATTCTCCTGCAAAACATTACTTTGCTCATGCTCTCGAGTAAAACCAGCATGAAAAATACATTAAAATAATTTATGCATTTGGTTTGGCTCAGTTGAAGTACGGTGTCTGAATCAAAGCCGGCCTACAGCCGTTCTTCCCGGCTGAGCCAGGCGGGATTAATTGACTGAGCCGATCTAGATGAAATCAGCCGTTCCGAATTGATTCAGACGCCGTACCTCACATGAACTTAGTAGGCCATTTTACAGTTGTGTACTTACTTGCCAAGCCTTTGA